CAGTGCCACACAGCGTTTGGAGGCAGGACCAAACCATTACATCTAAATAGAGGGGGGTGTTCAAGGCTTTGGATAATTAACTTTTGGAAGAAACTAAGTAAAATTTAGTGAGTACATCATCAATATGATGTACTCACTAAATTGACCAGCCTACCACAACAAGCTAACAGTCTGAGAAACGTAAAGACACTATTTAATTAAACCAGTTCAAGACGCATTACTCTTATTCTTATCATTCTTTATGAGCGCAGTAACGGTAAGGTATCTAATTACTTATTTATTTAGTTTTCCATAGCTTAGTAACAGAGATGGTCAAACTAAAGTGGTAAAGACATGGCAGAATTCCTACAATGAAGCGGGACATTGAACTGTTCACCCGTGAGAGGGCAATCAAGAAAAGAGAGCGAGCGGCCCCGTTGAGGAAGTTTACAGATGAAAAGACTCAGCCATGTTTATGCAGCACTGCACGTGGAGATGTGGACGCGCAAATCGCGCAGATTACGTAGGCCTACATGTATACAAACCTGCGGCGGAAACCCCTCTTGTCTGTCAGTGAGTCTGATTATTTTATAAAAGTAACGAAGTAACGCGTGTCGGGGCAATGTTAGTAACTGTAGTGTAATTACTGAATTATAAAAGTAATGCGTTACACTACTCTGTTACCGACAAAAGTAATATTATTACAGTAACCCAACTCTGCTGACCAGATATAGAGAGAACGAACAAGAGTGATGGAAATCGAAGCCGAAGGAAAGCAAGTTGATTTAAGTGGTCATATTTAAGTCAATATATAAGAAGTTAAGTTTTGTTTTTATACATAGAGCGTCATATTTACGTAGCTAGCCTTAGCGTGTTTGATAAAAGAGCTTGCAAGAGACAGCATTGTGCACCTAAATGTAACTTTTGACATAATATATAGTATAGAAGCCGCAGAGAGGAGAACTCAAAGTGAAGAGAAGTAATAAGGAGGGAAGAGCATATAGCACTAGTTAAACAACACTTATATAATAATAATAATACATTTTATTTCTAAGCGCTTTTTCAGGTGCTCAATGACACTTTACAATGGTGATAAAAAGGAAATAAAATAAAAAGTTGAATTAAAATATTAAAACAGCAACACAATATTATTCAAAAGCCAGTCTGAAGGTGTGTTTGGTCAGTGTTTTGAGGGGGGGAGGGGGGGGTGCAGTCTGATGTTTAATGGGAGTGAGTTCCAGAGGGAGGGGGCAGCCATGGAGAAGGCTCTGTCCCCCCAGGTTCGGTGCTTGGTTTGTGTGGGGATAGACAGGAGGTTGGCTTCTGATGAGTTAATTAAAAGACCCTTCTTTAATACTATTATAATATTTAGGTACCGAAAAATATCCACTCTTTTTGACTTAACCTAGCTGTCCTACATTTTATTTCTCCACAGATGTACTGTCCATTCTGTGGGTCCAGCGTGACAGCTCCCCATGGCGTTTGTGGTGTCTGTGGCAGAGACATCACGTTTCTAAAGGATGTGGCTGACAAAGTCCCTGAGGAGATGCCCACCACTAGTGCACAGCCTAGCACCAGTGCAGGTAAATAGGCTTTATTACCGAAAAATATGTATTTATAGAAAACTTGGTTTAAAAGTTTGAATTCTGTTATTATACAAATACATCTCTAAACTATGTGGCTTACCTACTGTTGAATGTGTTCTAAGATGTTCCACAGAAGGGATTGAGGATGAGACTCCTATTGAACATAATGATGAGTAATTCATGTTTTATTCCTGTGTTTTTTTGTAGCAGGAAGCTCAGCTGTAGTATACTTATCTAGGGAAAAGAAACAGAAAATAGTGAAGGTATGCAACGTTTTCTATTATGAATACATCTGTAATTCACATCTTGTCACCACACTCTCATATAATGTCCGAAGACTTTAGCTTATTCATTTTCAAAATGTTTTTATTCATTTGCATGTTATTGTTTTTTGCAGATTTCTGTTGGAGTAATGAGGATGATGGATGGCTTCCTTAGACCTGTGAGAGGGAGGTTACTTCCCCTTGATGTTGAACCTCAATGGTCATGTCAAGAACTGTTAGCTGCTGCCATAAAAAATCAGAAAGATTTTAAACAGGTCGTGGAAGATGGTGCCCATGTTTTGTTATACCCTGATGCGAGGGAGATTACAAATATCCCCGGAACGGACATCCCTTTCACAGTGGAGATGTACAAAAAGACCAGTGGAAAGCCCTACCAACGGATTGCGTTGTACATCTGTACTGTTGAAGACTTGGAAAACAGTTGTGTTGCGTACTGCGCCCAGCAAATTCAGGTCCTGAAGGACCCTGAGGTCATGAGCCAGCGGGTGGAATACAAGGATACCATTAAAGAACTCTACAAACTGGGACTCAAGCCCGCTTTGCTCTTCCCCGCTCAGCTTCGCCTCACACTCCCCGGTGGAGGAAGAAAGTGGATCAGCTCTGTGGAGGAAGCAAAGAAGTACATCGCCACCCTCCAGAAGTCATCGGAACCGCAAAAGTGACCCTGTGCCTGTGCCCGGGAGATGAGAGGAAGCCATCTCTGCCGTCAGTGTTGTCTCTCTTGAACTTTCAAATAAATGTGGATTAATGCCAGCGGTTTGTTTACTTGCTTAACCTGCATGTTTACCCGGAGCCGTGTTTAAGTACGTTTGTTCCTTTTTCATGCTGGGATGCATTCTTTCATTCTATTATGGACTTGAAAAGCACTCTTATTATACGCACCTCTCAATGTGTCAGTGTAGAAACTTGGCAGTCTGGATTTACTATATATGCTACCTGTCTTTCTTTTTTTAGTACCCAATGACATGTCTTGGCGACTTACGTTATCGGTAGCCTCGTTCCAGAGTTTCTACTACCTTTTGTTGATTGAAGCCGAAAAAAGTTCCCTTCTGTAGGGCGGTTCAATTTTTTTTTGTTTACGACGCTGGAGCAATACGTGTGTTAGTTAGGATAGGAAGAGTTGTTAAAAATGTGTTCTGAAGAGCTTGCTGTTAATTTTATTAGCAGCTGTCTGGGTGGGGGGGAGGGGGTGCCATTTTCTGAGCTGGAATGTAAAGGGGCTAAATCATCCCATCAAAAGAAAAAAGGTATTTTCACACCTCAAACAATTTAAAACCGATATTGCTTTTCTGCAAGAAACTCATATTCGTAATTCAGATAATGACCTCCTTCTATCAGGCTGGAAAGGGCAGCAGTTCCACTCCTCGTTTCAAGCCAAAGCGAGAGGGGTTTCAATTCTTATTGATCAACATATTTATTTTGAATCACATGACGTGATCGGTGACAAATTTGGTGGATTTGTGATTGTTACAGGTAATATTTAATACATGTGTTGTATTAATAAATGTGTATGCTCCAAACGCTGATGATTTTTCCAACGGTTGTTCTCACAAATACCAGACCTCAACACATACTCTCTTACTTGGGGCCGATTTCAACTGCTGGCTTGACCCTGTTTTAGATCGATCATCTACCAATATCTATGGGATAAACAAATCTGCCAATTTATTAAGGCTTTTTTCTCTGATTATAGTATTTGTGATGCATGGCGTACTTTACACCCAAATTATAGGGAATACTCTTTATTTTCACATGTAGATTACTTTTTTATTGATAAACAACTTCTCCCATTGGTTAAATCTTCTGCATATCAGAGCATTGTAAATTCAGATCATGCTCCCATTTTGCTGGCCCTGTCTCTCCCTAGCATCCCGCAAAGGAATCAATAGACAATGGTGGTTCAATTCAACCTTACTTTCGGATGAACATTTTGTACATTTCATGGAGAAAGATAGCATTTTTTGTCTCTACTAACTTAACGCCTGGAATGTCCACCCTTACCGTGTGGGATGCTTTTTAAGCTTACCTGAGGGGGCATATAATATCCAACCCGGTATCACGGCACGATTTACCATGCTGGGAGACGTGAAGATGTCACGATTTCGTCCCTTCAAACGTGACAGTTACACGGTATTGTTAACATGGCCCAACCAGCGATATGGTGCTGGGCCCGAGATATACACGGAAATGCCAAGCAAATGCTACCCTGACGGTCGGTTGCTATTGTCAATATTAATATAATTTATATGATTTATTTTTTAATAGTCACACTCGATTACGCCGATTTTCTTGTTTCACTTCTTTTAGCAGAAACAAAGGCTACAT